CAAAATATAAAGCTGCATCCTTCATCCTGTATAATTAACATATGATTTTTAGCAAGTAGAAAAAATATTCAGTGAGTTTTTGTACTAGAGACTGACAGCACTAAGTTTATTTTTGTCTAGAACTTACTTTAAGTAGCCATTTTAGACATCTGAGGCCATCAAATTTACCAGTTGCAAAACAGGCTAAATCCATGTCTAAATCATTCCCATTTTATTCTTGTGGCTGTCTCAGATCCACATCCATGTATGTACATTATTTTCCTGAAACATTTTTGAGGTGAGATTCAGCTTCAATGATGTACATTATAGGTTATGTAGGTATGTAGGTATCTAAGCTCACACTATAGTTATTAGAGATCGTGTCAGTGGAAAGAGGTATTCTAACTATTCATCTGACCAAGTTTAATTTCTGCTTTTCAATGTAATTAATTGACTCAGTTTCTACTACTTCTTCATTGGAGCTAATGGAAGCTCAGGTGCGTAGCTCACAGGAGAACACCTGTACTGAAGAAAAGTAAGTTTGAATCCAGTTCTTAATGATATCACAGAAAAGAAAGCTGGTGAAATGAACCTCTGCTTAGCGGCATAAGTGTGATCTACTGTTTCAATGTGATACAATTTTTTATCAAAAAATTTATGGTATCAAGTTGAATCAGAGGAATAAATAGGATTTGGAGTGTCGTATTGTTAAGTCTTCAGAATTAACTGTCCACTCGATTTTTTTCTTTGATTATCTCCAAGAGTAAAAATTAATTCCAAACAGCAGCACGAGAGAGCAGTGGGTTTGTAAAATGGTGACTGCACCTTTTTTTTTTTTCTTTCTTCTCGTTGGGGAAGTTTTATTTCAGTACGTTAAGGGCATAGGCATATAGTTACAGATAATGACAAATAGTGCAGTCCCAAGTTGAAGCAACAGGACCATACAAGACTTACTTCTACTGGAAAACCAGCTTTTTAGTGAATAATGCACATCATTTCCAAAGTTTAAGGAAACTCTCCCCCTCTAGAGGCTAATGCAAAGAATTGCTCACCAACTACTAGTTTAAACTCTGGCTTTATGTTTAGTTAGTACCAAATTAACCCCCAAATCTTGGTGCAGCCAGACTTACAATCCAAATCCAATCCTAAGAGTTGCATGCCAATACTTTTCACTGACCTGATTGTCAAAGCTACAGTTGCAACTTCTGATTAATGCAAGTCATCTTTCATCTTCGGACACTGCAGCTGTCTGGTACTCTTCACTCTCTTCTTTGCAACTAGCCTTTTTATTTCTCTCCCTTCGTATTGAAATATTATGAGCAGCTGGACTTCACTCCTGTTGGAAGACTTGAGCTTTGTAGAATTCACGGTCCAGGTGTTGTGCACATCCACAATGGCTCCTCAGTTTTGCTGCCCGTTTATGGGCTTATAGTGAAGTAAGATTGAGTCTAACTTTGAAAGTTTAGCAAAGCAGAGGCACTCATTTCCTGCTGTCAGTATCTGTTAAAACACTTAGAAGCAGGGCAAAAATCTTACATTTTCGAAAGAGCATTCCTTTAACTTCTCCTAACCTTTCTAAGCAGGTACCAGCTTCAAGAGGTGGTTTGGTATTTCATCATCTTGCTGCCGATGCTGTGGAGAACCTTTAATGTTAAATGACTTAAATGTGCTCTGCACCTTAAATATGTTTTCTTGTGCACTGTAAATATCATCCCTTCTGTTCACTTGGAGTTGCTATTCTGCGAACACACATCAGTGGCAGCTGTACAGTTATTATACTGTAAGCACAATACGAGGAATACCATGAGAGTGGAAGTCAAAGGTTGAGCACTGGATTGTGCAGTGAACACTGGTTTTGAAATAGGAGGAACAGGGCCTTGGAGGCATGATATAGACAGGACTACATCTTTGCTAATCAACTCTAGGAAAAAATAATTAGCTTATTGGCATGAAAATCTTGTACCATCTCCAGTATCTGTTTTGCATTGAGCTAATGAAATGACTAGGGCATACCAAAGAAAGGTACTGCCTGCTGAGAAGTACATACTCTTTCCCTTTTTGGAAAATCTTTCTATGCATTATAATTCAAAGTCAGCTTAATCATCACTGGTTTTATTACTTAAATCAATGACTTATAATATGAATCAGGTCTAGATTGCATTAATGTAATTCATTGCTAACTGTGGATATGCTCACTATGTTGGCCTAACAAGAGGATGAAAATGTGTGTCACTTTTAGGTACTCCACTTTCATCTCAGATTCGTACTCTTTACCTAGAAAGTTGTATGTATGAAAACAAAAGTGAATAGTAACAAATCAGAGCAATCCACTAAATAAATGGAGTGGAGGAAAATTGGATTCCACCCCTTCAGGCTTACTTAATTGAAAATCAGTCAAAGAAACTGAGAAATCTTAACAATAACAGGAAATGATGATTTTTCTACTGCCTTTGGAGTCTAAAGTAGAGTAGAAGAAATCTTATGGCAAAGACTGAATACTAGAGTTGTTTCAGTCACAGCAAAGGTTTCATTCCATTATAACTGAAGTAATTGCATGTTTTGAAGTCTAGCAGTAAAATGTTGCACACTGTATTTATCTTTATATGGGAAACTTTACATTGCCTGCCTATGAGGTGTCAGCTCATATCACTCTTTGTGAAATGTAATGATGGAATTGGGGCATGTGGATCATGATTTGTGGGTTCAATATACCATAAACTCTTCTGGTTTCAGCTAGAGAAGTAGGTCTGATTTTATTTAACAGTGCACACAGGACATGTGTGCTCGGGTGACAAACTACCTTGTTTTCCGTTAGTGTAGGTCGACTTATAAGAAAATAAACAAATCCACAATTTATATCATCAGCTTAACACAAAATATTACACAGTAATGTTGTTTTGTGCTGGGACAAGAGCCTAATTAATTTGCATTAACTTTTCTGCATTGCTTTCAGAATAGCATTTTTAATAGTAAGTTCTGCTGCAAGTTACAATAGGTACATGAAACTTTTGGATACAAATCCCAGTTTTCTGGTATAGTTTGTTTTGGCTGTTCATTTTTTTTTAAATCCTAATGTCTAAGTAGATTTTTTTTTCACTGCTATAGGAAGAAAAGAATTTTTTCCTCTGCTTTTCTTTTTCTTGGATCTTAGAGTTTTGCATCAGGATACTTTCATGAATAAAATGACATAGAACAGATGTTTTGAAACACCTTATTGCTATGGTAGGATGTGCCACAAGATGTGCACAGTGACAGCAGTTTGTGCTATTTAAGTATTAGATATTTTTTTGTGTTGATTCCGATTTGAATGGTGGCTGCATCTGGTTTCAGGGAGAAGTCACTGCCTAGCTAAATACTCCATTTATTCATAATCTGGTTTTGGAGTGGCTTTTATGGGCTCCTAGGGGGCAAAAACATTTTTCTGTCTCTCAGGTTCTGGAAGAAAAAGTGCTAAGGTGGTTTTTAATTTCTTCTATAGATTATTATAAAGTTTAGTGTGATAAACCTTGGGACCCACATACTGGAATTGTTAGGTAATGCATTGTGTTCAGCCACTTGGATTTCACATAACCATTCTCTCCAGTGCATTTATCACATTTTAGGTTGTTTTTGTCCTGTGTTCACTTGCAAAACTAAGCGTGTTCTCAATCCACAGGAAATTTATCTCATTTAAACAGTTATAAATTATTAAAGCCAAGTACACTTTCCTCCTGTCTTTCAGTAGAAGCAGTTCCTACTGCAGTTCCAGGAGTTAACTGGTAAATACTTTCGTAATAATTTTTAGAAACAGTTACTACATTACAAGTTCAGGATTTCTGTAGCCTAAACCAGTCTGTTGACTGTTGCAATAAGGAAACAATTTTTTTTTTAAAGATAAAGTAACTTCAAAACAGTACTAAAAGTTTTTTTCCAGGCACTGCTAATGACTATGTTCAGTTCCTTAAAATGCCAGAACAGCTCATGTATACACACATATTAGGGTAGATTGGTCAGCCACAAAGTTGTGCTTTTACAGGAGAGTGTAGCTACTTCATCCCTCTGCCGTTCCACCGGTCAGATAAAGGGAGGAAGGACAGTCTGAGGGTCTCACACACTAATTTGGTGAGCTAATCGGGAACTGGTGGACTGCTTCTAGCAACAGGGCTTGTTTTTCAAATGTTCTCACGTCGCTGCTTTGCGTGACAGAACACTGTCTAAGAAGGTGGGGTTTTGGCCTTACATGTCTGAGAATTAGCCTTATACCTTGGTAATGCAACAGCAATCCCAACTGGTATTGTGACTGTATTTTATGAGTCAGCTGCTCTTCTGGCCATATATTTACAAGTGAATCTCTGAGTGTGACTCCTCAAAGTTGGTAAATTAGTCTCTGTTAAGAACACGAAATTCCAAAAAGCAAAGCACTTCAAAGATGAAATTCTGCATTCTGATCCCAGTGCACATTGGGGAGGGGTCATTCTAATGCTGCCAGTGTCACTGATACACCTTCCTGCTCTCTCTTAGGGAGTCAACCAGCAAAGCCCTCATTTATGCTTTATGGTGTTAGCAGCTTTCTTCCTTTTTTAAAAAAAAAAGATAGATTTTGGGGGGAAAAAAAAAAGAAAGAATGAACACTAGAACAGGCAGAATTAAGTCTGTTATTTGTAATGATCAAGAATGAATGTCTTCTTTTTAAAAGGGTACAATGTTTATACTCAAGATATAGTTTCTGAATCAGAGGTTTGTTTAAAGGGTTTTGTACAATTCCTATTTAATTGTGGTATGTCTGTCTTAAACACTAAACAATTTAGCTTCCCACAGTGTTCAAAACTTTCATCTTTAGATTTTATTTTACATTTTTCGAAGACTGTGGAGAGGAAAACCTTCATAATTTAATGCTGTTTTATTTTTGCTTTTCTATATATACGATTAAAATTTGATGTTGGTGATAATGTGATATTTGGTGCCAGCTTTGCTTTTGATTTTTTGTGCTTTTTAATAATAAATTAGTGTTAAAGATTATCTTTTTACTGTTTTAATTTCAGATTTGGATTCTCTAACAGGGCATGCATTTCCAGGTAAAGTGGACAGTTAGATTAGATTATGTTATTTGTTTGTTTTATACTGAGTTTATTGAGTTTTCGGGGGCGGGGGTGACAAATTAATTTGGTGTGCTTCTGACAGCATTTTGTTACATGTCAAAATTATACTATTAAGGTTTTTTTAAATATTTCAGATAAATGAAGAATGGGTAGCTATTACGTGTACCAGTTAAAGAATAGCATTGAAAATTTACTTTAAATGTTAACTACAGTATATTTAATGTTAAACAAATCAAGGGGGGAAGAAGCATTATTCCAAACCAACAGGTCCCAGTGAAAAGATTCTGTAATGAAGGGAAAAAACCCACCTGTTGGTTTGTAAGGAAAGTAAAGATTCAAGACTGAGTTTCCAGTTTTATTACTAGAAATATATAGGAAACAGGTTTTTAGTAGTAAGAAGTCAGTTTTCAATAGAGAATCTAGAAAGAATGATAACACAATTGTGCCAATTCTCTGGATTCTACTGTACACATATATTTTTTTGTGCTGTGTGGAACTTAATTTTAAAAGCAGTCCACCCAAATAAAAATTTTAGAATTTTACAACTACAATTACTTCACAATTCAAATATTTTGAGTTGGGAATTTTTTAGCAGAAATACAGGAGCAGAGAATTTGATGCTACGTGATCATGTGAACTTCTGTGTTGCTTGGGTAGAGATTTTGGCACAGAAGGAATATAAATGAGTACTGTGAAGTAAGGTAATTCCGTGCTGCAAATATCTTTCTGTACTCATCATTTTCTTGAATCATCCTTCAGTTGAACAGGTTGTGAAAATTAAAGCATAATTTTCATATCCCAAAGATTTAGTCCAAATTTGTGATATTTATCATTAGAATGATATTACTATTTATTATGTCATTGGCTTCAAATATTTTTATTGCATAATATAATATTCCTTATTCAGTTTTTGTTTAAAGAGTATTCTTTTAAAATTATGGGACAATAGATTTATACAAGTTTATCCGAGCATTCCTTTACTGTAGGTGCAGGTATGCTGTAAGAATTGCAATAGAATAAATTATTAAAAAAGTTTAGAAGTTCATTATAATGAAATTTGTGTGCAGTGTTGAGCAGATCTGGGTACAGAGTCTGTCAGAGTTGTTTGTACTCAAATACAGCAGCACACCAAGTGATGTCTGTTTGAAGAAGTCAGAAGACAGTAAATGCAGATTTTGCCATTTTCATCCCAGATGAGGAGACCCTTATTCTGAGTGTTTTGGTTTGGTTTGAGTAAGGTTATCGATGCTTAATAGGGCCATCTTGTAAATATGACCTTTATGACTGATGTCAAGAATATGCATGTGTCACCAAATAGACATTAAAACAAGCAGTATCAGAATATCTTTTTTTTTTCCTCCTTTTTAAAGGTTGAGTTTGCTTTTTGTTTTGCATGCATATTTTGTGTTAGTAGATGGTGCTGTCACAGTGTGTCCCATCTTACTTTGAAATATGAGAGTCTTAACATAATGATAATGACCAATAATGACAACAGAGTATGTATGCTTCAGAATTATGGCAAAGAGAAATCATCCTTATTCTGCTTGGGAAATATCCTGAATTGCAGTACAGGTCGATTACACGCCTGCATTACATTCCAGGTGTAACTGTGCCCAAATCCACCAAATGAACTGTTATTTATCAGAGAGAGAAATATCTTTGAATTCAACTAACTGTCAAAGGGATGTAGGAGAACAGTTTAGGTAGTCAACAGGCATAAAATCCGGAAATGTGGACGTTCATATTTGGAGACTCACAGTATGAACACGCTACTGTGCAGCTCACAGAAATCACTAGAAGAACCATTTCTCATTTTATGCTTTATTCGAGAGAGTTGAGACATACTCATTTCATACAACAGTATAAAAGCAGCAGAATGTTCTGTCTTGCCTTTAGTTTCACTGATATTTAATAATTAAGTCATTATAGTAGTCTGCTAAAATAGTGCAGATTGTATAGTTACAGATGTAGATAAACTAAACACCAAAAGGGATGCTTATGAATCTACTTATATTGGAAAACACAGAACTAAAGTCATCCTAATATTTGTGTGCTAACATGATTACTCTAGTTAGGCTAAAGTATCTTAACTTTCAAAAGACAGAAAAGATCAAGGCGTCACTCATGCATCTTCAATAGCAATTAGTTAATTAGATGAGATATGTTCAAATGATTCTAAGTGTGTTAACAGGTGATTTGTTTCACTGAGCAAACACAAAACAAACTGATTTGAGATTGCTATATATCTCACCTTGGGAAAAGCACACCCTTTGACCTAATCCAGCAGGATTCATTAATGATACCTCTAAGGGCATGGTGATCCAATAGTTTTTCATTTGATCCCTGACCAGTGCTCTGTAGCTGCGTCAGTGAAATGCTGAGTGGGTGCTACTGCCAGGCCCTTAGCAGGGCAGACAAATTAAACCTGGTTCTGCACTGACCTAATCACACATGTTCCAGGGCAGAGGTGGTTTGCATCCATCTGGATTACTTTAAATTCATATGAGCTCCCATTTGGATATGACTGCTTGGTGAATTTCAGTCTAAGAAAAAGTACTTTCCCTATCACCACTGGCCACTGCATCAGCTGCACCTGTATTTCCTGTAAATGTGGACAATCTTTTCTACTACAGAGACAGATCAGAATATAAACCACACCTAAGTATCTGTCTGGTTTTTATGTGAAAGGAAAAAAGAAATTCTTTATAACCCTTGCAGTTGATCAGCTGAAACCCTAAAGTATGAGATTTGATTATAGTCATTGTCTTAATGCAGAGCTGCAAGTGTTATGGGCATGTTGAGAACTTCCAGAAGCTGGATTAAAGCATCTCTTTTACAATGATATGTAATCTCGTCCTAAAGCTCCAAGCAATGGCGAGTCCACCAGCTCCCCTGGTAAGCCGTTCCAATATTTAATTACCCTTAGTGCTAGGAAATTGCAATGTTATGGAAAGGTTGAATTTGTCTTATTTCAGCTGCCAGTCTTCCTTTTGCTATGCCTTTGTCAGCAAGACTGAAAATTCTCCCTTTTTCATCTGTTTTCTGAACAAGTGTCTATGAAAAACTCTTCGCAGTGACCTATTGAAAGGCCTCTGCGCACAGAAACTGGTGGCCGTATTCTGGCTGTGCCACTTGGCCTGATGAACTTATTGCCTTGATCTGCAAACCTGATCTTTTCCATAGACTGTCACTTTTATCACCCCTATGACTACTAAAAGTTTATATACAGTAGTCAAGGTACCTTTCAACTTTTGTTCTGGTAAATTTCATATGTTGTATTCTTTAAGGCTCACACTGTAAGACTGGTTTTCTGACAGCTGTCCTAGGAACTCTCTCCCTTTTTTTCAAAAGCTATGAGAATTTATTCATGTAGAATTCCATAAATGCTGTATATAGAGGTAAAGTACTTTCTTATTTGTCCATAACAGCACCTTTCTCATTCTCCTTTTTTAAGGATTTAGCTCCAGTTCAGGTTACACTGATTGCCTGTGTCCAACAAACCAAATGGTGATCCCAAAATATAACTGATAGAATAGGAATGAACGTTTTTTCCCCAGTTTGATGTGGCTATCATGAGGTTTATGGTGGAAGGGAGTGCTCTTATAGCAGCACATGAAATCCAGCTGTTTTCAATCTGATCCTACCAGGGTGGGCACTGAGTTTTGGGTGATCATTATTCCAAAAAAGGAAGGAGGATTAGCCAGTATGTATTTTTGGGGAGCGGGATTAAAAAAAGACAGAGACTTCAAAGCCCATTCAAATGCATCCCTCAAACTACGTCTATACCTAATATCTTTTATGAACTCATTTATAAGATTAGGAATGTACCTTTAGCACAGAGGAGGTAGTTAATAGCAGTTGACTGCTTTGATTTCCAGTGCCTGTGAAGCACACCTGTGAATTTCTGTTCCGGATTTACAGTAGGTAATCCAAATGCACCTTCTCCCTCCATGTCTAATTTTCTTTTAATTCTGCTTTGCAGTGCAGTTTTCTCTGTTCTGTACTACAGCCACAAGGTACCCAAACTCTTCAGTGAGATCCACAGACTTTGTTTTTCATTTTGTTAAAGATGAATGCTGTTTTGTTGCAATTCATCTAAACAGGCTTGAGGTTTTATGAAATACCTCAGGCACAAAACTGGCTGGTTATTTATTCAAACAGTTCTTCATTGTGGGCAAGGTAATGCTAGATTTCAACTTCAAAATGTTAGGGGCTTTTTATTTCTGTAAGTCGTTTCATAGTCTAGGGAAAAGACTGTTGTCTTCAGCACTGTCAATAAACCTAAGATAGAGGTAAGTAGAATGAGCATTCTCAGGTCTTTGTACAGCTCAACTATGGTAGGAATTCAGCACGTGCATTCCTGTGGGAAGTGTTTCTCTGGAAAGAGGGTGTCAAATGCTAATCAAATGTGAACACAAAGTATCCATTCTAATTCCTGGGTGTATCTAATAAGTATGCCATAAGGTGGTTGGTTAGTGACCTGCTCATTTTCCAGAAGAAATAACACTTTATTTATATAATGAACATCATTTCACGAGTTAGTTAATGGCTGCTGAACTAGGCACTTTCTTTTTCACAGATCTGCTGGGTCAAAAACTTAAATGGACATTTCATTCATTACTCTAGTACTGAGGTGTTGTACTTGAGATAGAAGTTCATCTGCAAGTGTCTTCTCAGCCATATTATTTGCACTTACAGTTGTATTAAGTCACAAGCAAAGAAAGTCTCATATCCTTTTTCTCTGCCTTTGTGCAACACATATGTAAGATTGGTAGAATGTTAATGAAAAATGGATAGCTTAGAACAAATAACACTGACTGGAATTTAGTACAAGAGTATCAACAACAGAATATCAAAGTACAATGTATTTGATTAGAGCTGACAGATTTTTAAGGAACAAATTTGGAGAAAATAAGACTTTGCAAATGTTTTTGGCTAGCTGTGATCTTGATTTGATCCAGGGAAATGGTTGCTCA